AAATGAGTCATGTACCAAAATGTTCATTGCAGCTCTACTTACAGTAGCCAGGACATGGAAGCAACCTAAGTGTCCAGCGACAGATGAATGGATAAAGATGTGGCACATATATACAATGGAATATTACTCAGCCATAAAAAGAGATGAAACTGAGTTATTTGTAGTGAGGTGGATGGACCTAGAGTCTGTCATACAGAGTGAAGTAAGTCAGAAAGAGAAAAACAAATACTGTATGCTCATACATATATATGGAATCTAAAAAATAATAATAATGGTTCTGATGAACCTAGGGGCAGGACAGGAATAAAGATGCAGACATAGAGAATGGACTTGAAGACACGGGGAGGGGGAAGGGTAAGCTGGGACGAAGTGAGAGTAGCATTGACATGTATACACTACCAAATGTAAAATAGATAGCTAGTGGGAAGCAGCCGCATAGCACAGGGAGATCAGCTCAGTGCTTTGTGATCACCTAGAGGGGTGGGATAGGGAGGGTGGGAGGGAGACGCAAGAGGGAAAGGATATGGGGATATATGTATACATATAACTGATTCACTTTGTTATACAGCAGAAACTAACACAACATTGTAAAGCAATTATACTCCAATAAAGATGTTCGAAAAATAATGCAATAAATATAATATTTCACTTTCACATTTTTCAATAAAAATAATTGTAGTTTCTTCAAAAACTTTAGGAAGTTATTATTAATATTGTCAATATCATCCCCATTTTATAAAAAAGAAAACTCACGTGCAGAGATTTATCATAAGATCAGATAGCAAGTGATCCCCGGCTAGAAGGATAATACCCTTTCTGCAGCACAACTGCCTACTGGTTTTCTGTCTTTCTGTAGCACAAAGAGATACGATTCAATGTAAATGTATGTGTGACCTCGGCTAACACATTTATTGTAATCAAGCCTCAGTTTTTTCATCTTAAAGTCCTACCTCATAGGGAAGTCGTGTTGAGGCTTAAAATGATTTAGTGTCTGCAAAAATGTTTACTTTGTAATTAATAAAGCACTGAACAAATTTATGAGCACTTTATAGTGGCAAAACCCGGTGCTTAATCATACCATTTATAACAGAGTGATGGTATTTTTCCCAACTAACGAATGCTAAATTTTGCAATACCGCAAAAAAACACAAGAGGGTGTTCATTATATTTTGATTTCAATGGCAAGTCATTTCACAAACATTTTGGGGCCCTGACTATGTGAAAGTCTCTGAGATTGTCAGAATTTTTGAGGGGCTCAAGTAAACAATTCTGCACTTTATTCACTCTGATACGTTTTCTAAAGTCGCAGTTTCTAAGAGGTGTTTTGTTCAGGAACTGGACAAATAAAGGTGCCGACATTCCCAGTCTCAAAAAAGAGCTGTGCCTAAGCTTTTCCTTGAGAATATTACATGCCTGGACAGTGAATAATCCTAAATGGGTATGAAACGGAGCAGGACCCTATGGTCCTTGCCCCCCTTGTCCTCAGCCTGCCTTTTGTCTGTGGAAAAACTTTAGACAAAGAATAAGTTTAATCAGAGAAGTGAGAAAATGCAGAAGCAAAGAAAATCGGTCAAACAGGAGAAAACCATGGTAGTTTAGTCCGTAAGCAAAGTCAGGGACCTTTAGTTCCTTCTCAAAGACTACAGATGATATTCTGAGCCATATCCTGTGAGTGTCTTATAGATACTAAAACCCCCACCAGGTGGAAGAAGTTAACTACATGATGACCAGACTGTAGCCATGACATAAGCTGCCATGATTCCAAGAATTGGCCTCAAGAAAATGGGAACAAACCAGCCCTGGAACTGAGGACTCAGTGTACTTAAAACAATCAAGATGACACTGTTCAGACCACCGAAAACCCATTTCAAGATGACTGTCAGAGCTGATTGTGCTGTTTCTATATGTAGCCCCCTCCCTCAGCCTATAAAAACTCTCGCCCTTGATTGTCAGGGGTGGGTGGGGGCGAAGTCGGCCCTTTGGATAGGAGTTCCCCCCTCCCCCTCCCCCTGCCCCGTTGTCGGCATCCAAAATAAAGCAAGCTTTCCTTTTCACTAACCTTGCCTCTTTAATGGCTTTTGAGTGGGGAGCAGCTGGACCCACTTTGGGTTACAGGTATAACATGCAGCCTATTAAGATCACACTCATCCTTAATCTGTATGGGAGGCAGACATGTTTAGAAGTCACATGTTTCAGCAAACGTGGCAATTCTGCCTTTACTATAGTCTGAAGGATCCCACTGGAATCTCTGAGGCTTTCAGAAGCATCTGATCACTATGTATGTATCCTCAGTCAACCAGAACCAGAAAAAGGCTACATGATTCCAGGGGACACAGCCAGGAAACGATGGTTTGGATACATCAAGGTGAAAAGCTCTAGCCACCAGCAACAAATGGAAGAGAATGGAAAATTCAAGCCAAAAGATGTCACATTGTGTACATGTTACCTTAAGGGCTTTGATGAAGTTAAAAAACAAACAAACAAACAAAAACTATAAGATATACTGTGCTGTTTGTTTTGCAAAAGACAATAACTATTCTTATTTTTAATTCTAATATGAGCAAAGAACTCTCTTATTCACGTTCATTAGTCAGCTCTTTAATCTTTACAGACTTTTGATTAAGAGTGCACTCTGGGCTTCCCTGGTGGCACAGTGGTTGAGAGTCTGCCTGCTGATGCAGGGGACATGGGTTCGTGCCCCGGACCGGGAGGATCCCACATGCCGCAGAGCAGCTGGGCCCGTGAGCCATGGCCGCTGAGCCTGCGCGTCCGGAGCCTGTGCTCCACAACGGGAGAGGCCGCAACAGTGACAGGCCCGCGTACCGCAAAAAAAAAAAAGAGTGCACTCTATGGATCAGATCCATGCTGTGGGCAAGTTACTGCACCTCTTTGAGTTCCAGTTTCCTCATAATAGTATCCTCTATAGAATTTTTGGGAGGATTAAATAAAATAAAGCAAGGCTCATAGAACAGTTCTAGGCACATAGCATACAGCATTGCTCTTATTTATCCCTGGTATATAACTTTTAGCAGAATACTTGCCACATAGTAAGATCCCACAGGGTCCTGCTCCATTACATCATCCACAACCATGATGTACATGGTGATGCTGGTGGTGGTGACAACAAGAACTAACATTTATTTAGCAGTTACCATGCATCAAATACCATTCTTAGTGATTTTTTTTTTTTTTTTTTTGTGGTACGCGGGCCTCTCACTGTTGTGGCCTCTCCCGTTGCGGAGCACAGGCTCCGGACATGCAGGCTCAGCGGCCATGGTTCACGGGCCCAGCCGCTCCGCGGCATGTGGGATCTTCCCGGACCGGGGCACGAACCGGTGTCCCCTGAATCTGCAGGCGGACTCTCAACCACTGCGCCACCAGGGAAGCCCATTCTTAGTGATTTTATGTACATTAACTTATTTAATCTTCCCCAAAACCCTGTGAGGTAGATATGGTTATCTCCATTTTAGAAGTGAAGAAACAGAGTACAAAGTGGCCAGAAATGCTTGTAGAGGGAATAAACAACCATGCTCTTTGATGCCTCCATGCCTCTTGCATTTATTGTTCCAATTGACACTTTCATCTGCCAAATTTGTATCTATTCTTCCAAATCCAACACAAAAACAAACTCTGGTGCAAAACTTTCCTAAATCTCCCAGAAGAAATAACTTACAATTATTAATTTACCTGTTTGCTTTTCCCTTGAATGTGTGTTCTTCAGAACAGGAATATATTTTATTCATTTTAAAGTCTAGCTTTTTTCCTATTGTATAGCACAGGTAAGCAAATATAAAAAGTTTCAACTTTATGCCGGTTCCCAAAAGTACTTTGAGAATTCTACTGGTCTATAAAATGAAGCATTTTCAGAAAAAAATTTCTCCACTTTCGCCTCCTATTGAGAAAATTAGCTCTGTTTACAGTACGAACGAGGAAAAACTACATTTCCCATGACGCCCCTGACCCGGAAGGACGTGAGACTCGACACCTCCCGTGATCGCTTATAGACCGGAAGCCGGTGCCTTAGTTCTCTTTCCCATCTTGCAAGGTAAGAATGGCGTCGCCTCTCTGCAAGACTTGATTTCAGGATCCCAATCCTTCGCCATCTTAACCAGGAGGGTATCAAGTCGACAACTGCAGGGGTCGGACACGCTCAGGGCCATTTGGGAGGCCTCCCAGACCCTTCATTTCTCTCGCTTGGGTTTACGGTGGGGCACGAAGAGGGTGCTGTGGGGCACGAAGAGGGTGCTGTGGGGCACGAACAGTGTGAGGTGGAATGCTGCAGAGGCTCCGGGGCTCCGGTTGCTCGCCACCCTCCCGGGCTGGGGAAACAGGGCCCCTCCAGGGATTCGTAGCGGGCCAGTGGGGCAGCAGGGACAAGGGCGGCGGCGCGCGCTCTGAATTCCGGACCTGGGTTCCAAAAGACGACGCCGAGCTTGTCTCCGCCACGTTGTGGATTTGAGACTGAGAACAAATGCAACTTTTCCCGTCTCCCCACGTCCGCGGCCGGAAGTCGCCTGCTGGGCTTCGCTTTTTTCAGTTTGGCCAGAGTTTGGGCCATTTGTGTGTGTGTGTGTCTTCGCCTCCTAAACGGAATTTCTTGAGTGAGACAGTCTGATAAGAGCAAAAGTCCTGAAAGCAAACGGTTTCAGGTTACAGCCTCGCTGCTTTCTGGCTGTGGAGATTGTTAAAGCTAAGTCTAGGATTTCTAATTCGTAAAGCAAATAATGGAATAGGGACTTTTGACCTCTAAATATATGTAGCGAACAGATAATAGTTGTGAGATATATTCAAATTGTCAAGAAGGTTATACTGTATTGGGGAGACAACCCAAAAGTTAACCATTTATGGATATTGTTGCAGATGTGTGGCGATTTGGAGGAAGGCCTGTATCTTATAGTGGGAGGGATGTAAAGGATGGAGAAGGAGGACAAGGACTTGCAGTCTGGGAGGCCTGTCGATGTATAGCTGTGAGATAATTGGTGAAATGCCTTTTTAAAAAATATATGTATTGGTAGATGGCGGGTGAAAAGGCTGAGAAGCCAGATACTAAGGAGAAAAAACCTGAAGCCAAGAAGGCTGATGCTGGTGGCAAGGTTAAAAAGGTGAAGCAGGTTAAGAAGGGGAAGCCCCACTGCAGCCGAAACCCTGTCCTGGTCAGAGGAATTGGCAGATATTCCCGATCGGCTATGTATTCCAGAAAGGCCTTGTACAAGAGGAAGTATTCAGCAGCTAAATCCAAGGTAAGGGATGAGGGGAAGCCCTGAGCATTATATCTTAACATTAAAACGTTTGTCTGCCTCTGACTTTTTGACGCATTTGTGTCCTACTAGGTTGAAAAGAAAAAGAAGGTGAAGGTTCTTGCTACTGTCACAAAACCAGTTGGTGGTGACAAGAATGGTGGTACCCGGGTGGTTAAACTTCGCAAAATGGTAAGATTTGGAGGAGATTGTAATTTGGGTGTTTAGTTGAAGCTTGAATCCTGTGAGGGTTATTTATTTATTTATTTTTAACCTGCATTCGGTATTGGTTGCTGCGCTCAGGCTTTCTCTAGTTGCGGTGAGCGGGCTTCTTATTGCGGTGGCTTCTCTTGGTGTGGAGCATGGGCTTCAGTAGTTGTGGCTCGTGAGCTGTAGAGCACAGGCTCAGTAGTTGTGGCGCACGGGCTTAGTTGCTCCATGGCGTGTGGGATCTTCCCCGGCCAGGTCTCAAACCCGTGTCCCCTGAATTAGCAGGCGATTGTTAACCCTTGTGCCACCAGGGAAGCCCTCCTGTGAGGATTTTTGTGTGTGTGCTCAGGTTTTAGAAGTGTATGTTTACCAGAGGATTATTAATGGAGGATAGTTCTGGGTTTGCAACTTCGCTTTATTATTTACTGTTCTTAAGTAGAGTTACTTTTCTGTGCTTTTGTTTCTTGTAAAATGGGAATAAAGTTTTGACTCACAGGGTTGTTGTGAGACTTACCATACGTAGAGCCTAGGATGCGCCCAGACCTGTAGAACATTTGTCCACTAGAGTGGGTGTTTCTTGGCCCCTCTTTACCATGCACAAGACCCAGCGTTTTCTGTGAAAAATAAAGGTTTGTTCTGTGATTTCCATTATGGGACTATTGCAGATGTATTACACTCTTCACAGTTGAATATTACTGCACTAGAGGGGAAATGGCACTTTGATTTCTTCTTGTCACGGCTTTTGTGAGCTGATTTTTCTATTAGGTATTAATGTTTGTGGTAAAAGAAAGACCGTCCACTAAAATGATACAGTTAGAAATAGATTATTTTGAGTTACTTGTCATAAGCGAAAGAGTCTTTGTGTGGGGTCTTTTTAAAAAATTAATTAATTTATTTATTTTTGGCTGCATTGGGTCTTCGTTGCTGCGCGCGGGCTTTCTCTAGTGGCAGAGAGAGGGGGCTACTCTTCGTTGCGGTGCAGGGGCTTCTCTGTGGAGCACAGGCTCGAGGCGCGGGGGCCCTAGAGCGCAGACTCAATAGTTGGGGCGCTCGGGCTTAGTTGCTCCGCGGCATGTGGGATCTTCCCAGACCAGGGCTCAAACCCGTGTCCCCTGCATTGGCAGGCGGATTCTTAACCATGTGCCACCAGGGAAGCCCTGTGTGGGGTCTTATTTTTACAATAAATGAACTGGCAGTCTTGATCTAAACTAATGTCTGTGGTTTTATACAATTTATTCTTTGTGGATAAGATGGAAGTGATGCGTGTTAATGTGAAGCATATGAAGACACTTAATTTGAGTTGGAAAACAAGCCATGCCTTTTTTCATAACATACAAAATTGTGTCAGGCGTGTGTTTCTGGAGAAGTAGGGACCCCAGAGGGTCAGGGACCCCAGAAAAGCTTGAGAATCACTGCTACACAACAGTGTATAATGATAGCTTGCCATGTAATCTCTAAAGTTTGGTTTATTCCAAATTTACAAAGGTAACTTGCTTGATGCTTTCCCTCTTTGCTTGGATACAGCTCCTTCAGTTAAATGGATTCCACCCTATGTTTTGCATGTAAAGCTATTGAAGCAGCGTTGATCTTTTCTACCTTTAAAATATTAGAAGTGAAAATGCAGTAGTGTGAATAAAGTGTTTCAAGTGACTACAGGATTGTAGTGAAGGTTTCACTGACCTCACAACCAGCTCTACTGACTTGATTAGATTATTTAAATAAGTTGGACCTATGGGCTCTCTCCAGCCTAGGTATTATCCTACTGAAGATGTGCCTCGAAAGCTGTTGAGTCACGGCAAAAAACCCTTCAGTAAGCATGTGAGAAAACTGCGTGCTAGCATCACTCCTGGAACCATTCTGATTATCCTCACTGGGCGCCACAGAGGCAAGGTGAGCAGAGCATGACATTGAGGTACCTGGAGTACTTGATCCTAATAAGTTTGCTCTCTGGATAGGATTTATTTACCTGTGTGAACTGCAGTTAGTAGCAAGAGGTTCTGTGGGAGAGGTGAGAGTGATCCATAACAAAACCAACAACCCAGTAACTATCATAACGTGTTTAGTCAATAACAGACAATAACATTACCAATTCCTGTCGTTGGTAATACTACTTGTTACAAGTGATTCAGATGTCCCTGTACCCAAAAATGTTTATGTATTTGAGTTAACTTCTTAGGATGGATTTGCAGGGATAGAATTACTGAGTTAAAGGGTACTAGTATTTTTTTAATGTTAAAAGTAGTGGCTGCTCATTAAAAATCAAGCACACAAAAGTACTGCTCGTATCCTAGAGTCACCCCTGTTATTAGTTTGATAAGTTACTTCCAGAACTGCTGCACATATGCATATGTAGAAATTTCCTTTTTTACCAAATTTAGGAACCTGTGATTTGATTAATTCAGAAGTCAGTTTCTAATTTGTGGAACCATCTAGCATTTCTTTTTAATCTACAGAGGGTCATTTTCCTGAAGCAGCTGAGCAGTGGCTTGCTACTTGTGACTGGTAAGAAGATCCTTGGATTTAATATACTCTGAAATTTGCAGGTCTCCCCACCTTCAGTTTTACTGAGAAATAATTTATATGCATCACTCTTGCGAGTTTAAGGTGTACAACATGATGGTTTGATTTACATATATTGTGAAATAATTACCGCAGTAGGTTCAATATCCATCTTCGCATTTAGATAAAAGAAAAAACTTTTTTCCTTGTGATGAAAACTCTTGGGATTTACTCTTCTGAAGGTTGTATTTTTATTTTAAAAAAATTTTTTTTTAATATTTATTTTGGGTGTGCCTGGTCTTAGCTGTGGCATGTGGGATCTTCATTGTGGCACGCGGGATCATTAGTTGTGGCATGCTTGTGGGATCTAGTTCCCCGACCAGGGAACGAACCCAGGCCTGCATTGGAAGCACAGAGTCTTACCCACTGGACCACCAGGGAAGTCCTGAAGCATGTGTTTTTAAATGCTTGAAGTATACACTTTGCTCCCACCTAAATAGAAGTTTCAGTGTCATGAGATTCTTTGCCCTATTTCATTGCCTTATGTACATGGGAGTTCTGAGGAAGCAGGTATTTAAAGTTTGCGTGGCAACATATCACCAGGTATAACTGCCACCTAAAATGCAGAATGGTTGGCTACTAACTCCTAGGAATGCATCCTTCATAAGACTTGTAATTGGTCTGCTACTTGGCACCAGGATGGAGTTCCTGGATAGGGGAAAAGTGAACTGTTTACTCCAAAAAACAGTGCTCGGTTTAAATTTGTCCTCAAGGACTAGTGATTTTTGACCAATATGTATAAGTGACTATGCTCTCTCCTAATCTGGGTAACTTTAAAATTTGAGGATGGGGGGAGCCTTGGACAAACTGAGATCTTGAAAAAAGCCTTGATGCTGACAGTAGAAAGCAGTTTGGAATTTCTTTGGATCCAGAGAAAAGTTAGAACTTCAACAGGTTTCTTCAAATCCAGTCAGTTCTTGAATCTTTGTATCCCCTTTCCCCTCACTATATTTTCCCCCCTTAGGGCCTCTGTCCCTCAATCGAGTTCCTCTGCGGAGAACACACCAGAAATTTGTCATTGCCACTTCCACCAAAATTGATATCAGTGGTGTGAAAATCCCAGAACATCTCACTGATGCTTACTTCAAGAAGAAGAAACTGCGTAAGCCCAGGCACCAGGAAGGTGAGATCTTCGACACAGAGAGAGAGGTAAGCTATTTCTGTCTTTGCCTCTAATAGTTCTGGCTTTCCTACTTGGGAGTGAAAATAAACAAGGTTAAGAATTGTTGGAAAAAGAAAAGCTGTAAATAATGAGGACTATCTGGGAAATAATATTTTTCCAGATTCTGCTAATTATTTTATTTTTGGCTGCATTGGGTCGTCGTTGCTGTGCATGGGCTTTTCTCTGGTTGTGCCGAGCGGAGGCTACTCTTTGTTGTGGTGCGTGGGATTCTCATTGTGGTGGCTTCTCTTGTTGCGGAGCATGGGCTCTGGAGCGCAGGCTCAGTAGTTGTGGCGCATGGCCTTAGTTGCTCCACAGCATGTGGGATCTTCCCTGACCAGGGCTCGAATCCGTGTCCCCTGCATTGGCAGGTGGATTCTTAACCACTGCGCCACCAGGGAAGCCCAAGAGTTGCTATTATTATATTAAAAATAGGTTGTATTTCACAGCCCTCCAAGGAAAGAATTATCAAAGTTGACTTCTAGGGACTTCCCCGCTCGCCACAACTAGGGAAGGCCTGTGTGCAGCAACGAAGACCTAACACAACCAAAAATAAATATAATAAAATAATTAATTTTTAAAAATTGCCTTCTAAGTATTCCTGGGATTGAGTACTTGTGACGTAGGATTTCTTAGTTAATGTGGAGTTTGGTACTTGTGCCCATTTTTTTTTATGATTTTTCTTTTTCTTTAGAAATACGAGATTACAGAGCAGCGGAAGGTTGATCAGAAAGCTGTGGACTCACAAATTCTGCGAAGAATCAAAGCTGTTCCTCAGCTCCAGGGCTACCTCCGCTCTGTGTTCGCTCTTACAAACGGAATTTATCCTCACAAAGTAGTGTTCTAAACTTTGTACAAAGAACCTAATTAAATAATTGGGTCCATTTCCTTTGTGTCTTTTTTCTTTTTTTAATCTGCCTGAAGGTGTGGTATGGCTCAGCCAACTTGATGGGATGTTAGCCTCTACTAAGAGGAGTGGGATTGGAGGGGAGTGCTGTCAGCTGCAGTGGAATCCCCTCTTTGGGTCAACATCCTTAGCTTCCTAAGTGTCTTCTCAGCTTTTTCACCCGGCACCTACCAATACAAAGTCATGGCATTTCTGCAACCATCACTGAACAGGTCAGTACTAACAGTACATGGATAAGAAACAAGTGTGGGCTCTCAGGCCACAAACTTTCCTCCCTTTTCATGACTTAACATCCATTTCTGCCCAATTCAGCCCCTCTCCATAGTCATTACTATTAGTTTCTTGTGTATCTAGTTTCTTAAAGCATACACAACAAATTAGTATAATTATTTACCTTTCCTCGTTTTTAACCAAAAGCCCCATGTGCAGTACATGCTGTTCTATGGGTAACAGATGAATTTGATTACTCCATAGGAAGTGTCCCTCTTTACTGCTGCATAGTGCCGCAGTGCATTCTGTGGATACTTGGGTTTCCATCATTTGTAACTATACAGGTTTCCCCTGCTATCTAAAAGTAGAGTATGCTTCTGAAACCTTTTGTAAGCCAAAATGGCATAAAGTGAAGAAATTACCTTATGACACATCTTGCTAACAGAGGCATAAAATGGGATAAAACACATGCTCACAGTTCAAAGTGATGGCTCTGGATGCTGAGATGCCAGAGTAGTTCCAGGGAAGGAGCTTGGCGGTGCCACTCCCACTGCCCAGACATGCTGCCGTCTCTAGTGGCTCTGCAAAACAAAACCGCTGTTTTCCCCCTTGGCCTTTTTTCATAAAAGTGAAAATCTTGATTTTTTTTTCCAGTTAACAAAGACAGGTACAAATGAAATTCTTTCAGTTAAAGCAAACTTTCAGAAAGTGCTGGGTAACAGAGTGCGATGTAGTGAGTAACTTGTGGTGTGCATACAGATGAGCAAGCATCAGGTAAGAAGTAGCTTTTTGCTGAGTCAGGATTTAGGCAGTTTTGGTAGGTGATGCCAAACTGCCCTCCATGGAGGTTGTACCATTTTATACTCAGGTATAAGAGTGCCCGTTACCCTACAGGCTCCCTAAAATGATGTGCCATTAGACATGGGTTTTTGGCAATAGATAGGTGAAGAATCACTGATGGGTTTTTAAAGTTATTTTATTGATGATTTACATTTGGTAAAATTGATTTTTTGTGTGTGCAGTGCTGTGGCCTTTGCAGTTTGGGAAGCACCACCAAAGTTCCTTCCAAAAGTCAGTTTCCACTCCTAGTAACCACTGATAAAATTTTTGTTTTTCTAGTTTTGTCTTTTCCAGAACATCATGTAATATGTTTTGTGGCATAATGTCTGTGATATTTGTTCACATTAATGGTTCAGTAGTTCTTTTGTCAGTCAGCATTCTATTGTATCAGTGTGTCACTGTTTATTCTAAAATAATACCCATTGAAAGATATTTGGGTTGTTTATAATTATTGGAGATTATGAATAAAGCCACTATTCACATACAGGGTTTTGTGTGGACATGTTTTCATTTCTCTTGGGTTAGAATACTTACAAGTAGGATTGGCTGGGTTGTGTAGTTTAACTTTGTAAGAAAGTTTCAAACCTATTTTGTATCCCACCAGCAATGTGTAACAGTTCCAATTATTCCACTTCCTTCTCAGCACTGGCTATTTTCAGGTGGTTTTTTTTTTTTTTTTTTTTGAGGTATAATTGACAAGTTAGTTTTAGGTGTACAGCATAATTTGTTATTTGTATATATTGCAAAATGATCACAATAAGTCTACTTAACACCCATCACCATACATAGTTATAAAATTCTTTTTCTTGTGATGAGAACTTTTAGAACTTTTAAGGTCTATTCTTAATTGACTTTCAAATATACAATATAGTGTTATTAACAATAGTCATCGTGCGGTACATGACATTCCTATGATTGTTAATTCTAACGGTTCCAGTAAGTTTGTACTGTTAGGTATATAGTGATAAGTTCTGATACATTTTTTGAAACAAACTCCAACATCACTTCTGACTAAAGCCCTTTAAGTGGCTCCTTATCACTCTAAGGTTTGGCTCCAAAATTATGGCCACGAGTCCTCTGGCCCATTTCTCCAGTCGACTCATTTTTACTCTGCCCCTCAACATATTAAGTTGCTTTTAGTGCCTCAAATTGGGCTGTTTTTCCTGCTTCAGAGCTTCTGCACACCCTGTATGTTGAACTGCTCTTCCCACCATGTGACTGGCCCCTACTAAATAGTAATGATAATTTGACTTGTCAAGTAGGTTACCCAGGAGCAAGGAAACATTGCTCAGGCCAATGCAAGCATCTAGTCCACTTGACAGATGTATTATGATAAAAGGTATTGTGATTTATCAGTGTCTGTGAGCTTAGGGCTAGAGCTACCTTCAGGGTGTTGAAAAATAAGGTTTCTGTTCGTGCAGATTCACACCAGTTCTTGGGTATATGCAAGGATGTTCATTGCAGCACCAAAGGTTCCATCGGTAGGGGATCAGTAGTTTACATCCATACGTTGGAGTATGATGTAGCGTTACAAAGAGTGAAGTAGCTGCATAAGAACTGTTGTGAAGGGACTTCTCTGGGGTCCAGCTGTTAAGACGCCGAGCTTCCACTGCAAGGGGCACAGGTTCGGTCCCTGGTCAAGAAACTAAGATCCCACAAGCTGTGTGGCGCGCCACCCCCCCAAAAAAAAGAAAATGAGAAGATTGATACCCACAAAATATAAATTGTTAAAAATTCAGATTGGTAAGAAAAAGACTAAAATCTTGATAGACAAAAAGGCAATTCACAAAAGAAGACATATATATTACTAGTATTTATGGAAAAAGATCTAGTTTCCCTAGTAAAGAAATGTACATTTAAAATGAGATACTGATTTTACCTATTAAGATTAGCAAAATATATTTTAACACTTCATGTTGTTGAAGATTTGTTGAAATGAACATTCATGAACTGCTTGTGGAATACAGATGGGCAGAATATTCAAGACAGCAACTTTATAATATGTATCAAGACTCCACTTCTAGGAATCTTGAAGAAATAATCACAAATATACAAAAAAAAAGTCATGTAATAGTACATAGTATCTCATTTTGATAAAAAAGATTATATATATGTGGTAGATTGTAAAAATGGCCTCAAGAAATCTTTTTGTACATTAAGCAGTGGTTCTCAACTTTTTTTGGTCTCAGGAGCCCTTTACAGTCTTAAATTATTAAAGATATGAAAGAATTTTTTATTTATGTGGGTTATATCTGTTGATACCATATGAAGACCAAATAATTATTAAAAGATTTGTTTTTAAATGACAACAAACCGTTCCATGTTAATGCAATATTTTTGTGAAAAACATTTTCCAAAACAAAAATGAGAAGAATGGCATTGTTTTACATTTTTGCAAATTGCTTAAGTCTGGCTTAATAGAAGACAGCTGGCTTCTCATATGTGCTTCTACAGTCTGTTGCATTATCACATATGTCCCGCAGCCTCTGGAAACTATTCTACACTCATGAGAGAATGAAAGTGAAAAGACAATGTATTAGTAGCAGCATGATAAATGGATTTCACTTCATGGGTTCATTTTAAGAATCTCAGGGATGCTAAGGATTCCCAGATCATACTTAGAACCACTGCACTAGTCCCTTAGCAAGGTTCCAGAGGTGGAATCCAAATCTCTACCTTTGAGATGTCCTCCTTTCCAGTCCACCTGCTTCCTACAGCTCTGGTGCATCAGTGCAATGCTTAGGGCAGGACTGCTTGTCGTGGACAAGGCTGGGAACCTCGTGCCTGAGATACTACTTCCTTAGCATCCAAATACCTCTTGTTCAGTTTTCCTGTTGCTGCTGTAACAAGTTACCACAAAGTCTATGGCTTAAAGCATCACAGGTATATTCTCTTACAGTTCTGGAGGTCAGAAGTCCAAAATCAGTTTCAGTGGGCTAATGTCAAGCTGTTGGTAGTGAGTGGCCACCCATACCCCTTGACTTGCGATCCCTTCCTCCTAGGTACACCAGTGCAAATGCTTCTGTCTTCACATCACCTTCTTCCTCTGATCCTAGATCTCTCTTATAAAGACCATTGTGATTACATCCCAACTGGATAATTCAGGGTATCTCCCTGTGAAGATCAGTTTCTCTACTCAAATACTTCTGACACCAAAATGTGTGGGTTTTCCACACCGAGCAATTCTCCAGTTCTCTGCAGATACCAACTGAATGTCCTACAATTCAATTCCGATGCTACCTACCCGGAGTTAGCATGGACCCCACAAGTTAAGGGCTCAGTCCCACAAGACTGCCTCTCACATGATGCCAATCACAAGTACTGGGTCCCCAGCTTACCCACACTTCTGTCTGACTTGGCTACAAATGGAGGGTTCCCACGACTCCCTCCTCAGGTTTCATAATTGGCTATAATGGCTCACAGAACTCAGAGAAACACTTATATTCGTTCACCAGTTTGCTATAAAGGATACAACTCAGGAACAGCCAAATGGAAGAGAGAAATAGGGCAAGGTAAGGATGGTGCCTTTAGCACCATACCCTCTCTGGGTGCACCACCCTCCCAGCACCTCTTGATGTGTTCACCAACCAAGAAGCTCACAAGTATTTATGGGGCTCAATCACCAGCACTACCACCCCTTCCCCACTTTTCCTTAAGTCTGGGTAGGACTGAAATTTCCAAACTTCTAATCCCTTGGTCTTTCTGGTGGCCAGCTAGGGGTCCCTACCCTAAGTCACCTCATTAACATAAACTCAGGTGTGATCAAAAAGAGCTCCTGGGGCTTCCCTGGTGGTGCAGTGGTTAAGAATCTGCCTGCCAGTGCAGGGGACACGGGTTCGAGCCCTGGTCTGGGAAGATCCCACATGCCGCAGAGCAACTAAGCCCGTGCGTCACAACTACTGAGTCTGCGCTCTAGAGCCCGAGAACCACA